TTTCATCCATAACTCTGAGGACTTTCACTCAGACACTTGGTAGACATGTCTTTGTAATCTTTATATCCCATGACAGCTTTCAAAGAGATTGATTCTGGTCAAATTTCAAATTACCTCTTTACAAGGGAAATCAGCAGTTCATTAATCTCCTGAGAAAAATCTCCTTTTAAAGCTCCCGGGAATAGGTCCCAGCAGGCCACTCCAGATTCCCTCAACGCCCTTCTCCATGCTGCTGTCTGTCTTAGGAGCTGCTCTGTCTGGACAGGCCGACAAAGACTCTCTCCTTAACCAGTCTTTAGTCGGCCTCCTCTGAGCCCTCTTCCCAACTGTGCCTTGATGCTGGCTCCCACCCTTGCAGGGCCTATGTAGCCCACTTTAGCAAGAACTCTGCTCAGTCGGTTAGGGAAAAAAGCCTCAATCTTATATCTGATCACCCCAGCCCGCCTGCAGCACGAATCCCCTACCCTTGACGTCTCCTCTTCCTTATTTTCTATCTATTGCCCCCAGTTTTGCTATCAATTCCCCACTGGTTTTGCCATATTTGGAGCTGAGTAAGTTCTCTTCCTTCCTCAAGAGTAGTTCCTCAACCTGTCGCGACACTCTTTTTTTTTTTTTTTTTGAGGTTTTTGCTATAGGACGCACGCCCTTGCCAGAAAGAGACAAAAAGCAAGAAATCACCCCCCAGGAGGATGGCCATGCTGCAATCCCTTCTCCTCCATTCTCCTCTCAAGATCTTGGGCATGCACACATACGTGCCCGGCATGAGTTTAAGCCACTGGTTATGGGACTCGAACCACGGTTGACTACATGGGAGTCCAATGACATAGCCATTATGCCAACTGCTGGTCTCTCCTTACGATTTTCAAAGTGTTGGAATATTTTTTTCTTTAACCATGCCTTGGTGGGCAATGGAGGACCCTAACGAGAATGGAGGGAGAGAAAAAAGGGAAATGTGGTATTTATGCCTTTGGCTTCCCCCATGGTGATTGCGGGGGTGTCCATCATTCACTCAAGGTCTCACTCCAGTCAGAAGCCCATTCCACATAATCCTGCCTTCCGCCGCCACCAATGCTCCCCCTCCTGCCCCTGCACTATTCTTACCCCTGTGGTTTTTTCCATCACTTTGTGAGTTAGTAAACTCTCCTCAAAGTAGCCTAATTTGAGGCTGCCATCTGTTCCCTGTCGGGTCTCCCTAATACAGATATAGTCCTGGCAGACCTCTTATTCCAGAAAGGCTCTCAGCTCTTTCTAAGAGAGGCAGGCATGGATATCGAAAGCAGAGGAATTTCCACGTGAGTGGCTCAGTGACTTAGAAGAGCTGACTTTGTTAAGTTGCCCACTTTTCCCTCCTGTTATTTTCATAACTATGGTTACAGAGAGTATTTTCTGAAGCATACAGCTTCCAAGTAGATCCTAGTTATCAGTATGGATTATATGAAGAAGAAATACCAAAGGAAATGAAAACTGTGCTAGTTATGGGACTGAATGGTGAGCATGGTAAAACTCAAAACTGCAAGGCAACTTACACAGGAAGGTTCTGGGTTTGGGTCTGGAGACCTCCCTGAGTATGCTATGCACACACGTGCCCACAACCAGGGCTGGCCGAAGGTAGGGTTGGTGTGTAGCATCAGGACTCTGTTGGGGATGCTCTCCATTTTTCTCTCATCATAAAGAAGATAATGAAGTTGGAACCAGCAGTTGGTGTAATGGCTATGTCACTGGACTCCCATGTAGTCATCTGCAGTTCGAGTAATGGACCTGGTGGCTTAAACTCACACCAGGCATGAGTGCGTGCATGCCCAAGATCCCGAGAAAAGAATGGAGAATGGATTACGGTGTGGTCATCCCTCCTGGGGGGTGATTTTTTGCTTTCTGTCTCTCTGTCTCTGTCTTTCTGGCAAGGGCATGCGCCCTATTGCAAAAACCTCTCCAAAAGAAAAAAAAAAGATAAATAAGCTTAAAACAAAACTAAACTAGACAAAACTATGCTAGCTGAAATTGTGCTAAAAACCTAAGGTAGAACAACTTTGTTATTTTCTCTCTGTTAGTTATATCCAGAGGTGACTTCCACAGTAACAGTTTAAATAAATTCAAGAAACTGTTTAATAATAATGTCAGATACAAATATGGTAACTCATGTAATAGCCTGAAGGCTAATTTCATAAGTAGTCTAAAGCAGGTATTTATGAAGGTCAGGTCATAATAGATTGTGAAATTAATTCAGTGGATAGTACTTTTAAAAATGATATATACTGTATACCACATTATACAATAGAGAATCAGAGTTCCTGGTATGTAGGAAGGGTAAATACCATTGCCCCAAATTTATATCTCACTTTTTATTTATTTTATTTGCTTTTAAAAGACTTTTTAAAAAATATATTTTATTTAATTTTATGTATTTATTTATTTATTTTAATTTGACCAGAGAGGAAGAGAGTGAGAGAGAGAGGGTGGGAGGGAGGTAGAGAGAGAAAGCAACAAAGTAAGCTGCCTGGTCTGGGATTCAAACCGTGGTGAGCCATGGGGGAGTCCAGCACCCTTAACCATCACACCACCTGCGGCCCCCTTACAAGATTTTTACTATAGGGTGTGTGCAGTTGCTGGAGAGACAGAGAGAGACAGAAAGCAAGAAATCTCCCCCCAGTAGGGATGGCCATGCTGCAATCCCTTCTATAATTGCTATACCATCTGCTGGTCCCTTATCTCTCTTTTTTAAAAAAATTTACCTATTTATTTCTTCCATGAGAGTGAGAGACAGAGAGAGGGGGTACTCACAACAGGGTCCTCATCCTGTGACCCAGCCCCGCCCCCTCAGCCAGCCTGGACCATAGGCACATATGCATGTACCTGGCAGGCCCAGGGAGGTCCTGGGAACAGCCCCAGAGCCCTCCCATGGGAATTCAGCTCTGCCACCACCTGGCCCCATCTCACATCTTCACAAACCTATTTCTATGGGTTTCTGTGTAACAACTCCATGACTTCTAGCCACTTGGCAGCTCCCGCAGGAAATACTGAGTAAGAAGCACATGTGGACACAGCTCTGGGACATCTGTTGCCTTCATCCCTCACCTTTATCACTAACATATCTGCTGAAAGCAGCACCTGACTGCAAGTGCCTGCAGTTCACGGCATTAGGACTAGGGCAAGTAAGGACGGAAAGCAGCTGAGTCCATGTGGGAGAGCAGCTGGAGGACAAGCAGCCTGCTGCCTCGCCCTGCACCACATTCTTCAGTGTCCCAAGTCACTCAGGAGACGGAGGGCCAGCCTCCCCACTCCCAGGGTAATCTGCTGGATAACTTGCTCTTACTGATCTCTTCTTCCCTTTCACCTCTTTACTGGGGCTTCCTGGAATCACCTCTCATATCAATGACTTAGGGTCTGCTTCTGAGTAAATGCATCCTAAGGTAACACATCAGCACAATACAGTGTTGTTTAGAGCCACGGCTGCAAAGATGAGAAAAGACTGGGGCCCACAGATGGTGTGGTGGTTAAGGTGGCTGGATTCCTACATGATTGACCAGGGTTCAAGTCCTGGACCTGACGGCTTGCTTTCTCACTTTCCTTCTCTCTCTTTCTATCTATCTCTGTCTATGTCTCTCTCAAGTCAACTTCAAAAACATAAAATAATGGGAACCAGCAGTTAGCGTAATGGCTATGTATGTCGCTGGACTCCCACGTAGTCGACCGCGGTTCGTGTCCCGGACCCGGTGGCTTAAAACTCACGCCGGGCGCGTGTGCGTGCGTGCCCAAGATACCGAGAGGAGAATGGAGGAGAAGGGATTGCGGCGTGACCATCCCCCCTGGGGGGTGATTTCTCGCTTTCTGTCTGTGTCTCTCTCTGTCTGTCTGGCGAGCGCACGCGCCCTACAGTGAAAATCTCTCCAAAAAAAAAATAAATAAAAGAAAATAATGACAATTAATAAATAAAATTAAAATAATTCTTTAAAAAGGAAGATAAGAACAGATTGTCTGATAAAAGATCATAAGCTGAGGGGTTTTTTTTGTTTGTTTACTTTTATATTTTGTGCTGGAAAGAGACAGAAAAGAAAAAGAAAGTGAGAAAGCACCTACCCATAGGGGAGGGTGAGGATGGTCATGCCACAGTCTCTTCCCCATTTCTCCTTCCAGGATTTTAGACATGTACACACCTGGCACATTTCTTAAGCCACTGGGTCCACTCTTAACTGCAGTCAGCTACGTGTTATCGACCTGCCTTAACTACCATGCCGCTAGCTGGCCCAAATGGGATTTTTCTTAAAAGTAAAACAAACAAAATTTGACTGTTCATAGCAATGACCTCTATACTGAAGGAGTGAAAGAAGAAACAGCATCTCTGACTGCACGGTCAGCAAGCAAGCCCGCTTAGACTTGTCCTACGCCAAACATCTGGGGATGTTGAGAACACAGACCTACACGAGGAATCTGGGTGGTCAGGGCCATTGTGGGTGTGGCCTGTCCTCATTCCCTGTGGGCTACAGTGTTCTTATCCACTGTGATACTCTACTTCTCACACACAGATTTAGAAGAAAGGAATTCTCATTTCTTCCAAAGAGAAAGAACTCTCATCTTCAGCTCCAAGTAACTCAAGTAGTAACTATTCAGTTCCTGACAATGTGTTAAGAGGTCTGTAAATCACCTTGACCTGTAAATGGGCCTGTGAGGTTAGAGAAATGAAAGGGAGTACTCAACCCAAATCTTCATTAAAAGTTCTGACAAACTACTAATTATTTCATTAAAAAACTACTATTTTAAAATAATGTAACTCACATGGCCAGCTCTTGGTCAATGCTGTAAAACAGACTTCTTTCAGGCTGGAATCTATCGAGAAAACTATGGCCAACTTCCCTTTATATCTTCCACTTTGTTAAGTATTTCAGCAAATACTGTCCCTCTCTCAGGGACAGCGACATGGAAGTTGCACTTTAAACAGGTCCTTGTGCTGAAAACAGCTTTTCCAACATGCCAAGTCCATCTGGGACTCAGACTCGAATACTCACCCTGAGCCGGCAGGGAGCGATGGCAGAGCTGAGGGGACATTAGCCTGTGGTTTTTCTTTCTCATTTTGCTTGAAGAAGGATTTGGCTTCTTTAGATGTAGCATCCACTTCCTTAGTTACCCTGTGCCAAGGAAAGAGACATCAAGTTTGTGAGGAATGAAGAGGAAGAAACAAAATCTAAGGAAAGGGAATAAATGACAACTAGGGAAATATCCACTGGGCTTTCAATACATTCTGGCTGCTGAGTTTTATGACTAAAACAATTCTGGACAAAGACCATCTCCCCGACTGAAATGAACAAATGAAACTACAACGTATGTACATTCTGTCTCCCTAAAATCCCCCCATGACTCTGTCAGCATGAAACGCACCCAGCAGTCCCTCTTGAATTTCAGTCCACTGGGGGTTACTGATGCCAAGGCTGGGGAAGGCCCTCCCATTGCACCTCACACGGAGGTTAGTCCTCAGACTTAGAGGTCCACTTGAGACGCGGAGATGGAATATTGGTGATGGGGAGAAAAACACGGGCATTCTTTCAAGGACAAAAGCAACAGTAAAAACAATGGGACACACTCTGTAAAAAGGTTCCTGTTCTATCCAAAGATGAAACAAAATTCTTTAGAACCAGTTAAATGACCACTAATTATCAGTTCAATTAGTGGAAGAAAGCAGAGAATCTTGTTCTGGAAAAACTGTCCTCAATAAAACTGAAACCAGGGGCTGGCAGGTGGCATGGTGGTTAAGGGCACTGGACTCCCACACAGCAGACTGCAGTTCAAGTCCTGGACCTGGCAGCTTTCTTTCTCACTTTCTCGCAATCTCTCTCTCTCTCTCTGTCTCTCTCTTTCTCGCTCGCTCACTCTGTCCTTCTCTGGTCACATTTAAATACATAAATAAATAAATAAGATTAAATGAAAATAATTCTTTAAAAAAAAAAAACACCTGAATCTGAAAGGATCAAATGAAGATCTCTAAGGTACCTAAAATTTTAGTTAAACAGAACAGAAATGCCTAGTGCCTGCGAAGGCTTGCATAGTCAACAAGAACATCTGAGGAATTTTGTTTAAATTCCAGTCTATCAGTAACACCGTCCAAGATAAGGTCAATGTATTACGAGTGTTCAACCAGGTCATCCAGAAAATGATTGGCCAAGAACAATGACAGACAAGTTCAGTAAATCCCATCTTTAAAGGAAGGGCCCTCCCTTTATGACCGATTCTCTTAAGAGTCATCTTACTCCTGCACTGAGTGCTCTTGTCACTGAATGCATATGCAAGTACAAAGAGTAGGCGCTGACAAGCCACCTGTATCTGAGCTGTGTCCTGCTCCTTCCAGGGACTACAGCAACTGAAGATTTTCTGCTCCAACTTCACCCTCCAGACCCAAAAAGGTGGACAGGTAGGACAATCTGTCTCTCTCTGCCTCTCTCTCTGTAAAGTTTTTGTTTGTTTGTTTTTGTTTTGTTTTAAGTTTAAAGTACTTGTGCTTGCCTCTCTGATCTCACCTGTATCTTGCTAATTCTCACCTTTCCCCAGTCCCGCACAGGACAGACAAATCACCGGCCCCTTCAGAAGCCACCTACATCCAAGGTGTGCCCTGTGCCTTTCAGCGACTGGGGCAACGGAAGATTTTCTGCTCCAACTTCGCCCTCCAGACACAAAAAGGTAGGCAGGTAGGGCGATCTTTATCTCTTCTCTGTCTCTCTCTCTCTCTGTAAAGTTTCTTTTTAATGTTTAAGGTACTTTTTCTTGCCTCTCTGACCTCTCCTTTATCTTACTAATTCTCACCCCCCCCAACATAGGACAGGCAAATCACAGGCCCTTTAATAAGTCACCTTCATCTGAGCTGTGCCCTCCCCCTTTCACGCAGCACTCAAGTGCACCTTGTGGTTTTCATTGTTTGCGTAAAAATTTTTTCCCCTTCTTTTAATTGCTTGTCTTCTTTTTTTTCTTTTTTCCCTTTGTTTTCATTTCCTTCTCCCTCTACCTTACTTTCTCACTTTGCTGCTCAGCCTCCACACACTGAGTGTCTAGACAGGTCTGGGTGCACAGTGGCCAAACATCTGAATAGACTGCAGAGTGAGCAGCACGGAGAAGGACGGAGCTGCAGAGAGCACGACTCGTCTCCTCACGCGTGCTTCTGAACTCGCAGTTGAAACGCTGCAGCTCGGCCCAGGTACACTTGGTTCTCTAGAAACTGGAAGGCCTTTGTAATATCCAGCTCCACAACAAAAGTACAGGTTGCTTGGTGAGTATCAGGGAAACAGAACTGCAGAGAGATTGTGGATCTGAATGCTCAGATTTAACTCCAAGAAATTAGGAAGAAACATATAAGCCATCAGATGACCAGAAACCACCGCAGAGGCACAAGAAATATGAGAAATCAAAAAAATATCTCTCCCCCAAGGGAAAAAAACAACCCCACATCATCCACAGACAGTATAATGGAACTCGAAGAAATGTCAGATAAGGCAGAGAGATTGTGGATCTGAATGCTCAGATTTAACTCCAAGAAATTAGGAAGAAACATATAAGCCATCAGATGACCAGAAACCACCGCAGAGGCACAAGAAATATGAGAAATCAAAAAAATATCTCTCCCCCAAGGGAAAAAAACAACCCCACATCATCCACAGACAGTATAATGGAACTCGAAGAAATGTCAGATAAGGAATTCAAAATATTCATAATGACAAAACTAATCGAGATGCAAGAGAAGAGAGACAACGAACTCCAGAAGATCCAGGAGAATAAAGACGATGAGTTCCAGGAGGTGAGGAAGTCCCTCCATGATTTGAAAGAAGAAATACACATCATAAAAAAGAATCAAATGGAACTGTTAGAGATGAAGGCTTTAATACAGGAAATCAAAATCTCTCTTCAAAGCATTAAAAGCAGACTAGATCATATGGAGGATCGAATCTCAGATATAGAAGGCAAAACCTCTGACCTAGAAAAAATCATCAAAAAGACTGAGAAAATAACCCAAAAAAATGAAAGTAATATACGAGAAATACTAGATACCATTAAACGCCCAAATATTCGGATAATTGGTATCCCAGAAGGTGAAGAAACTGATAAGGGCTTTGATCATCTATTCCATGAAATCCTGGAAGAAAACTTTCCAAACCTAGAGAGGCATTCAAATATCCAGACCCAAGAAATACAAAGGACCCCATATAAAATCGACCCAAGAAGATCTTCACCAAGGCACATCATAGCCAGATTCACCAAAACCACAGACAAACACAAGATACTAAAATTAGCAAGAGAGAAACATCAAGTTACTTACAAAGGAAATTCTATCAGGCTAACATCAGACCTCTCGTTGGAAACAATGCAAGCAAGGAAAGAATGGGAAAATATATTCAAAGTGTTAAATGAAAAACAATTTCAACCAAGAATACTATACCCGGCAAGATTATCTTTCATATGGGAAGGAAAGATAAAAATATTCTCAGATAAACAAAACTTGAAAGAATTTACCAACACTACGCCAGCACTTCAAGAAGTTCTGAAGGGAATGCTATTCCAGGAAAACTAAAGACAGACACACAGAAATAAGGGAACAAAAAACAACCAAGAAAATGGCCAATTTAATGTAAGGACAAGTCTGGAATATCGATAATAATGTTCATTCAATGTTAACTTCCAGAATTTAAATGGAAAGATCAGATCATAGTAACAGTCTAAATTCAACAGAAGAGAGATTAATTACATGAGAATGAACTGGTGAAATAGAATTTTATAACTTTTGACTAAAACATTACTGATTTTCTTCTATGCTTTGTTTTCCAGATGTCAGAATTTTTGTTTTCTTTTGAGTTGTTGATAGGCTCAGTAATTTGTTAAAAAAAAAAAATTGGGGGGGAAATTGAAACAAACTTTTCTACCTTCCTGACCCCTCTGGAACTGGAAAATATCTGCAAGTATTCTTATGTTGTGGCAGAATGGTTATTTTTATAAGTTCAATAATATCTGTTGCCTTGCATCAGAAATTGGAAATACTGGTTATTACCAGGGCTTTGAATGGAATGTCATTATCTGAAGATATGACCAAAAAGTTAAGGAACTAAGATAGATCTCAAAAAAGCCAACAGAAGCTCTTAGAAAGATTGCCAGGTACCATAAACAGTTCTGCCTGGCAGGTAAGTAAAGAATATTACTTCCTGACAGGCCCCCAAAATGTTCAAGTTCAGGTACTTAAAGGCACTGTCAGATGGAGAGTCTCTAACTTGGGTCAGTAGCTTTGGGAGGCTTTTTGAAGAGTCTAACCTGAAGTTCCTTATAAAAGGTTCCAGCAAAGCCATCTAAATCAATTAGTATTCTTATGGGGCTTTGTCCAAATAACAGACCAAATTGAGACTAAATTTACCTTTTGTCAATAAGTTCATTTATGCCTCTCTTTGGTAAAAGGGGGAATGGAGAGAGAAAATACCTCTGTAGAAAATTACAGTATACTTACTACTAGATGTTAGCCCTGTCCATGTCTGTTTTTTGAATTTTTGGTATTTACCTACTGTTTGAACAGAATCTTAACCTTTTTTCTGGCTTTAAGTCTTAAGCAAATTATTTTTAACATTTTAAAATTTTGATTTATTAAAGCTAAAACTGTTTTTCTTGAAATCAAAAAATATATATACATTTTAAAAAACTACTTTAAAATGACTACAGTAAGCTATGTAGCCTCAGCTAAGTGCTTACTTTTTAGTATGTTCGTTCTACTGAGTTTTATGCCTTAATTCAGATATGTGTTCATAGATATGTTTATATCAGCTGCATTTGCTATTGAAAGTATTTAGATTAATTAACATCTTTTGTGAATCAATAAAATGTGGGAAGAAAAAAAGCCATGGAAAGCAACTGTAGATACCAGAGACAGTGTGGGAGGAGGGTGGGAAATGGCAGAGGGTGAGAGGGAGGAGCTGGGGGGGCAAAATATGTAAGAAACAAGAAATGAAAGATTATTTGTTGACGACAACAAGTATGATAATAACCTTGGTTGAGCCAGTATACAGTGTATTCTAGATGTAAAAATTCATGTGGTATGATGCAATGATACACAGTGAAGAAAAAATATTTTTTTAATAAATATATTAAAATAAATAAAAATACTTTTTAA